TCGTCTCTACATAAAATTGAGATTGTTTTAAATTTTATCTAAATGTCAAAACATTTTTTATGATATTTTAAAAAACAAATTGAATCCAAGTTGTTTTTGATTGTTTTTAAAGTTGCAGTATAGTTTATTGGCCTTTGCAAACAAAACGTGTGACTTACCAATGTTCAAATCTCAATAACTGGCTACTTTTTTTATATTTCAAGATTTCTCGCGCAAAAACAAACCTAAAAAATCATAATAACATAATTTATTATACTACCGGCTAGTGGCAATGAGTCTGTTAGTTCTTTCCAAAACATAACTCGGTAGAAAGCGACTTGAAGCGGTAAATTCCGAATTTCTATATCAATTAAATATGCGCACGCAACAATTTCGTCGCGTCCATCAACGCTGAATGCATTACATGTCCCCGCGGCTAAAGGGCAACTCTCAAGCGCCGTAATCTCCATGCTCACAATGCGTCATTGAATGAGATAAATAACTAAAAGAAGGATTTATTCGATTTATACTATCAGACGTGATTAGTGATTAGTATGTATTTAATGACTGATAAGCTGTCGTAAGCGATTGAGAGAGATGTTTACGCATTGCATGTTAGGCACGTTAGGCTCGCCAGCTGAAACAGTTCATGAAATCGCCATGATGAAGCACATTGTTTACATAGTCTTGACCCATTTCAATCGAGAATATAACCCACGTTAAGCACCGGCGAGCCAATAAAAATTATTGACCAACAGAAGCCACAGATGAAATTTTTTTCTCTATTGCTTCAGATAGGAACAAATTAGTGACTACACTAAGAAGAAAAAATAATCATTGGTATATGCATTAGTGAAACAATAAGTGTGTATAGTTTAATTAATAAAATATTGTGTTTAATTTAAGCATTTAACTTATTCGTTTGTGGAAAATATGTCCGTGATGAAAATTGCATTCACCTACACATTGTGTGAAGAATTTAGCATATTCGAATAAACAGTGTGTAGCTAAAAGAAACGCTGTTTGTTTAGTAAGTGCTAAACGGAAGTAAGATGGCGGTATCCATTCGCTCAATGATTCAAATTAGAAGATACTCAAGGCTCGTCGCACTTCCAAAGCACAGGTGAGCCAAAAACGACCAATTTAAGTTTTATATAAATCTATTTATTTCTGTTTACTGCATATTTTGAAACGGTGCTGTTCCAATTATCATCTAAACGTTATTGTTTGGTCTTACTACGCGACCTTTAACTTGACCTTAGGAAATATCAAGGACCTTAAGGATCGTAAACAGTCTTCCTAGCCAAAGTTAAGATGGCGTCACATACACGCCTGCGGTTTGCACCCGCGCATAATTTGCGAAATCATTCGAACGTAGTGCGTTGTTTACCGTTTTGCACTTGGCTAGCCACGTACGGTTTAGAAAACTAGACAATCGGTCAAAACAGTGCGTGAGTATGACGACATGACTACCGTCGATACGATAGTGTGTGAACGTGGGCTCATCGCGACCTTGCACATGCTAACGAACATGTGAACATTAATACTCGTGGAGTAAGTTGCGTAGAGGTGCGCGCGCGAAATTACGAGTCGAGTCCGCCTTCCGCAGTATGTTTTCGTGACGGCCGATTGAAAATTCGTGCACATCGTATTCGTGAAAACGTGTGCGCTGATCACATGACATGCGTAGATTGAGAGGAGTTATTCGTCACATACTACAGAGGTAAATGTCATTTTGTCCTATCATTAACCGAATGTGTGGCGATTTGCGTATTTATCAGTATTTCACGGTGGCCTGTCAGGATGCGAAAACTGCAAGGACAGCAGTGAGTCGATATTTTGGTTTGACAGAGACTTGAATGAAATCAGCTGATGGTCCTTTCCCATTTTAGATTTCTAATAGCTGCACTATGTTAGGATATAACTTGTTACACTTTGCGCGCATAGATGGCACACGCAGGTAGACATTTTGAAATTACAACAGAAACTCAAATTGTATCGCTTTTATTTATGCTGAAAACGAGTACTTGATTTTTGACGACCTCTGAACTCTACTTCAGTTTGTGTATTGTTATTAGCTTCAGACGTTTCGAGGCAAGAAAATATTATTTAGTCTCCAGATGCATATCGGAAGCAAGTTCAATTAGTTACTATTATGTTATTGTGCGTTATTGTTCCCTGATCATAAATATGTATTCACTAGTTGTTTGCAGGGCATTGTACTATGATTGTACCCCTTTCTAAAATAACACACTAGTTCGTTTTTGTGTTGTGCAGCGCCAAGGCTGCACATTTTACAAGCGGAATACAGATATTTTCTTCGGGCGCAGTCATGTAGCCATAGTAGTAGTTGTAAAAATATACACACATAAAACGGTTAATTTATTTTAATGTTATTATAATGTGTATTTGCAAGTTCACAAGAGTGCAAAATTGGGTGTATAAATGCGCACCGTCGTCTCGCCATAAGTTATTTCTTATTCACAATGTGCGACGACGACTTGGTTCCAGCCAACTTTAATGATCAAACTGTGCAATCGAAATTATTGAAGAATGCATTGTTACAGAAGAAAGTTTTACTACGGTTGATATAAATATGACAATTCATTGATTTCTAATTGGTTTTTCTTGGTTTTTATTTCAGAATGGGCAGTTTTTCATCAGCTCCAAAAATTTTGAATCCAGACGTGCTGGATGGAGACGTGGATTTTGCTGGAAGCATTAGCAGACACGAATTGCTCCAGTACTGTCAAAAACAATATCAATCATATCCAATGGTGAAGAGATCTTTCAAACGACATAATAGCGAAGACTCTTTTTCTACTGTTGGTTTCAAAGCACGAAAACTCAATGGGATTTCAAAGGGTTGCAGTGAATACTTAAGCAATCCGAATAGTATTCGTGTTTTTCAATGGAATATTTTGTCCCAATGTAAATAAATAATCCTTATACTTTGTAAAAATACTAATTTTTGATTGTTTTAGCTCTGGGTCAATGTAATGACAATTTTGCTCGATGTCCGACAAAGGCTTTAGATTGGCACAACAGACGATTTCATATAATTGAAGAAATTATCGAATATTGTCCAGATGTGATTTGTTTACAAGTATTTATATTTACCTAAAAGTGTATTTCTGTAATCTATAATATTTATATGTTGCAGGAAGTAGACCATTTCAACTTTTTACGACACATTTTGAATACTCAAGGATATGTTGGCATGTTCTTTCCAAAACCCGATTCGCCATGTTTATACATTGACGGAAATAACGGCCCGGATGGCTGTGCCATTTTCTATCGCAAAAATAAATTTGATTTTATAAGCAGTAAAACGAGAGTTTTGGAAATTTGGAGAGTGCAAAGTAATCAGGTATGATTAATCACAAAACCATCAATATTTCTTTACCTTCAATCGTTTGTGATTAACACTTCCGGTTTAACTTCAGGTTGCATTAATGGTAATCTTACGACTGCAAGAAACAGGCCAGGAAGTGTGTATCATGACCACACATCTGAAGGCCCGCAAAGGTGCGCTGTTGGCGACCTTACGAAACGAGCAAGGTCGCGACCTGCTGCAGTTTCTCTCATCGCACTGCGGCGACCGACCGGTCATTATGTGCGGAGATTTCAATGCAGAGCCGGTTGAACCGATCTACACTACAATTACCAAGAACAATACTTTGCGTTTGTCGAGCGCATACGCTGATTGTGACGAGGCCGGTAATGAACCCGCCTACACAACGTGGAAGATACGAGACGAAGGCGAGATTTGCCACACGATTGACTACATCTTCTACACAAAAGACAAGATGGAGGTGGAGAGCGTGCTTGAGTTTCCCACTGCGCAAGAGATTGGCACAGACCGAGTCCTTCCTATAATTATCCTTCGGATCATTTCAGCTTAGTGAGTGACTTTAAGCTGATATAAACATGGTATTAACTCATTAGTTGTTATGTTGAAAAGTAGCGAATACACTTGATATAAGTAAAGGTTTTAAGTCGTATGTTTAAGTCAATTCTGGAGTCAATGCACATTTGTATCGGTTAGTGACGAAATTGTACTTATATTGTGATATAGGTAGTAGTTATTTTAATTTATTTTATTTTATGACAATTAGACGGATAGTATAGGTTTGATTTGACAATTGTTTCCAACTAAGATATATGAAAGAAGAATTATTTTTGTTAGTTGATTTTAATTGCGGTAAATCAAGTGTTGCATAATTATAATGAAATAACTATATTGTTAATGTAAATTAATAATTTTATTATAATAATAAGCGTGTTGAAAATCTAATTTGTTCAGAGTTCCTGCGATTAAAATAACCGGAATAGAGCATTGCATGAAACAACAACATTTGTGAGGAATATCCAAGCACAAAAGCACTATAGTATGTTTTATTTATATCTTGATTATAGGTATACGAAACAAGCAAATAGTGCCTCTATTAAAATGAACCAAACGTGTTAGTGAACAGACAATTTGCCCGAACTGCTTCTTCTTGTCAATATATCCAAAATATATATGGTGTGTTTAAGCACACCCAACATTAATATTGCAATTTTCGTGAAATAATTATAATGATTAACTGTTTATTCTGTATTTTTCGTACATTTCGGCATAATTAATAGCAACAAATTAACAGTGTTGTTATAATAATAATAATAATAGTAATAATAATCATAATAGTGCGGGGAACATAACATTATCTTATTTCACAATGGCACTTGCTAAATTGGCTACATTGTAAACATGTTTAAACACTATCGTCTTCTTTAAATTTAAATTTCTTTGGATTTTTTTGTGTGCGTTAAATTTCCATATAGAGCTACCAATCAAAACATAGGCAACCCACTTTTTTATACAAAAAATAGCATTTTCGAAAATGTTATCCTAACATTCAAATGTTTAGACTCGAAAACAGAAACATATAAAATACTTAATAATATTTGACATGGTCATGAACTGAACAGGATGTACACATTTCTATCTTTCGTATTTACCATGATGTTGCAATACATGGTCCAAAGAGCATTTTCATATATTTTATCTCAATCTGTCAACTTCATCATGAACAATATCAATTATACGTGATGATTTGAGTTTTAGATCATCTTCAAAGTTATAATCATCTTCTTCAAATTCTTAACATGATAACGTAATGAATGATTACTTGATCTTATCAATAATAGCACTATACTTAGATATATATGTTTGTATTCTACTGTATCAGGCGCGAAGTGGAGTGCAACCCTGTAAATTTGCTTCAGTTTAATATTCTTAACTGCCACTAGAAAGTGCATTAATGATTTCCGATAAGCAGCTGTAACTGCCAGCGCATAAGCCAATAATGCCAAATAATATCAAAAGAATATCCTTGATGAGAATATATTTGCAAGGACCCAATTTATCCGGATACATAACGCAAATTTCCATAATCGCCGGGAACGCAATTCCCAATGCGGAGAGACAGAACGCACCAAACAATGAAATAAACAAGCCAAGAAGTGGAATTGTTACGGCAAGCACAACTGAAATAGAACAATGATATTATTACAATAACAATCCAACTCAAGTAGTCGGTATAACTTACAAGTAACGATGACAGCGCCAATGCGTAGAACGTATTCCCAGACGAGAAGATGGTTACTGTTTTCGAGACGTTTGAAAATGTACGTGTCCCATAAAATCTTCACTGGTACGTAGCCTTGTAAGCCGTATGAGATGAATATAGCAATGGAGTAAAGAATGTTGACTGTTTTCGCCAAGCTGCAACGAAACCAAACAATTTATTAATCATAAACATGCACGCGCACATTTTCACGTAGAATTATGTAATATTTATTAATTTATAAACTTACGCATCTTGTGGGGGGAAATTCAGCGTGATACTGGCCTCGCTCTGTTCACCATAGCGCCAGTATCCAAGGAAACCCATGCCAACATACAAAAATACAATAACAACCATCGCAACGTTCAAAACGCCGCATGTGCCGCCGAAAGATTTAGGTGTCTTCATGTTATTTTCTAACGCAATAACCTTTAAAGAAACAAAAATGGTTTTAATTTTTTATATAAAAAAGAAGATTTAATTGTATACGTACAACACCAACGGCTTCCAAGGCAAACAAAGTTGTTCCGAAAAACAATGGGAACGTATATGCTGTTCCAAAATGAGGCCGCTCATCGATACTCGGCAGGTCTTGGAAAATGTAGTAAAGGACAATGCCGAAAGATGCGAAAGTAAGCACATTGGCTAACGTCGAGAAGGGTGCCAATAACTTGAGATTTCTTATTGAGTTGATGAGAATGAAAGGTACTAGAAGCATGAGGATGTATAATTTGACTGAAATCGCTGTCTCTGTATATTGATCAGCCACCGCTTTGATGTTTACTGCGACGAATACCACGTAAACGCAGCAAATACCAAGTTGGTAAATTACCAAAAGAAGTCTACTAAAATTCTAAAAATCATCGATATTATGTGGATTATGTCTAAAAATACGATTTTTAATCACTTACGGTGACATATTTGCAAATTTGCGAAGACACTGTGGTCCCGATTCTAAAGCTACCTTCATTGACTCTGGATATGTTAAAATTGGAACTTTCAGTCGCTTACACATAATATATTGAGCTTTTACCTACAAATAAAATTAACACGCATAGAAAATTACAATAAAATTGCAATAAATAATTCACACGTGTAAAATTTGAAATTTAAATTTTATTATTTTATTAATATGCGCAGTTAATTTACTTACTAAAATATGAAGGCAGTATGTACACAGTATACCGATGAGAATTGTACAAATGAATCCATTCGTCAGGCCGGAGTTCTTGAAAGCTTCCGGCATCGCCAAGATACCGGTGCCCAAACTACCCTTAAGTAAATGGATGAGCGTCTCCGTATTGCTAGTCAAATAAGAAAGCAAAGCGATCAATATAATGATTAATCGACGTGTTTGCTATGCAATTGAAGTGTTTTAAATACCTTGTTGGATGCTCGACATTCCTGTGCAGATGCGGATCGTAATCGTCATCTTGCGGGCTGCCTTCTCCTCTTTCCACATTCCTAGAATCATCCGAATAATTTCTGCACGCACGTGACAATGGAAAGATGAAAAGAACACAACGTTTATTAATGCAACCATGCAGAGAACAATGATTAGTACATGTAGAAACAGTAACAATTCAACTTTTCAACAATTTCTTACTTGTTTGCTCCAACAGGCTTCAGCTTCATCGTCTCTTGCGCCATCTTGGAGGCTTTTTCAGTACGCGCGTGAAATGGCGCCTTAGGTTACTGGTCAAATTACGATTTGGTTCGTGTTTGAAAAATTCCTGAGGAGCTTAGCGTTATATAACATCGGACGTCACATGTGATTGTTCTTCGATGTTAAGTGTTAAGGAATACGACCTCTCGTTTTAACAATTCATTGTGTGTAATGCCGGATCGCCTGGAACAAACAAGAGAAAAATCAATTTGTGTTTGAAACATATCATTACAGCTATACTCATAGAGCAGATGATGGTTGAGTTAAATGATGGATGCCGAGGCAAATTAATCATATTGTACTTATTATTCTGCTCTACATATTTGAATATTTATTTTGCTTACATAAGAATCAATGTTTTGAGTTTATCAGTGGTAATTTTGAATGAATAAGTAAACAAATAAATTTGCAATTCAAAGTAACTAATTTTCAAATTACGTAAATTTATCTTTTCCGCATCGGGAAACTTTCCAGTCTACAGGTCTGCAGTTTACGCTGAAGTGCTGAAAATTCTGAATTTAGGTCAATTTCGCAGACTAGATGGACCCATTTTAAAATGATTACCAACACAATGTGTTATTTACGTCAAATTGAAGAATTTAAGGTAATTGCTTCTGTTAGTAATCGAGTAATCGATTTTGTAATTACCTAAGTGTGTTTTCAGCACAATCACACAAAACTTACAAAAAATGTTTTTCGAACAAACTTAATTCAATAAATATTAATTTGATTGTCGCGCGATATTATGAATGAAAATCTCATAAATTACAAATCGTTTTATGTACTTAATGTATAATTAATGAAGCATGTCTATAACTAGATAATTTACCTAATAATTGAAGCAATCAACGTTCGATTTATGTTGGTCACGATCAAACAATGTCACTATTCTAGTCGTTGGCGAAAATAAACTTGTAAACTATTAAATTAGGCGGAGTAATCTGATCGCACTTAAAATACGCACTGGCCAGAGTCAACTTGGCGCAATCCTGTGAGCTGGATGATCTGTTCAGCCCTACGTCCGATTCTGACTGATGACTTTTAAACGCAACGAGTTTGAACAACACAAATTTAGACCGTCGCGCAGTGTGTGTGCTTATTTCGTTCAGCACTTGCAAACTGTTTTCTATAGTCTGTAGTCAACTATTGCAGCCAAGATTTCTACAGTCATACATACGACACTTGTATTTAATAAATAATTACACTTGGACTGTAATGTTTTTTCAAACAAAATTTTTATTCTTTAAGAAACAAAAGGAAAAAATTAAAAATTTGTATTATGCCTAAAATAATATTTGAATATAATTATAGTTAAGTTAATATTATTTAGAAAAGATTCATGTTTGCCCGTGAACTTGACGCTGCGAAATAAAACGTGAGCACAAAATGCAAAAATAGATAAATTAGAAAATTGGGTCTGCCAAGTGATCAAAGTCGATAGACGACTTAACCTTTCCGTCTGACCACTGAATGCAATTATAATTATACGTAGAGGAATTTCGAGGGTGGTGCAGCTACAATGTGCCTTCAAAGCACACGAATTCATTGGCACGCTTTGTAGAAATTGCAATTATGTAATTTCCAAGCAACGAGCAGAGACCAGAATCTCAAGTGACGTTTTAACCGAAGTTTCGTCTAAAGTAGGCGGTCATGGTACATCTGCCACTGTACATCACTTATTGAATAATTAAAGCAATGATTTATGTTGTAAAGAAACCTTATAGCGAATTAGATTGTTAATTGACAATTGTTACCAACCGAGCTTTAAATGACAGACACACTTAACTATGATAAATTCGATATAAATAAAAATTACGGTGCCGAATATCTTTGTTCATAAAGGAAATTGATTTAAAAGAAAAATTAATCTATATCTAAATCAATTGAAATTAACTGTTAATAACTGTTAATTGCTTAAATATAAACATTCTCCAATTAAATCTTGTTAGTTAGATTAAGCTATTTTTAATTCATGTTTCGTTTGCAACAGTTGCTGTGTAATATTCAAAGTTCGTGATGTGTTTTTATTAATTTTGCGCAAACATGTTCCTTTTGAACTCTTGAAGAAATGTTGCATATACTGATTTATTTTTGGAATTTGCTTACAACATTAACCATCATCATCATCGTAATATTACAATATTATTTGTAAACAAGTAGCGATGCATGTTTAACATGCAAGATTATATATAGTCACGTTGGGATAACAAGATCACAAGCAAAATCAATTAATTCATTGAAATTTATATTATAAAATTGTTATTGCAAGAAATTTATATCATTTGAAGCATAAAAGTCAAATATTTTTCATAGTATGTGGTAATATTTTAATAGTGTGAATTTATTGCTGTCAATGATCTTCTCAAAGCAATTTTAGCTTATATTGTAATAAAAAAATATGTTTTTCCTGTTTATATTCAGTTTATACGCACATTAACGTCCGGTAATGCATTATTCGCGTTAATACCTGTGTCCAAAAAGATATTTTCGTTTTATTATGAATTTATGATTGAATATTAAATTTTGGTCTTCAAAACATATCCAATAACTTTAATAATACTATAAATATGTTCAAAAATTGTCAGTTAAATGATTAATTATAATTATGTTTACAAATCTAAAAATAGTCCAAGAAAAAAAGCTGGCACTCAAAAAATATTAGGTAAAGCTTATTATATTTTTATATTTGTTGAATGAAAAGCTCATTGTCACATGATTGTCGGACGAAACGCGTTAAGCTTGACACGCATCACACATCGTAATTTCCTCTATGTATCTAAATATACAACATTTCTTTCACGGACAACGATTGTCGTTTCGGTCTTTGACCTATTGCGTCACTCCCAAAGTCATCGCTCCAAGGTATTTTCTGCACGATAACTGATGACACTAAAGCGAGAGTAATGAGCAATAAATCTAATCGTAATGTGCATGCAAACTTACACGCCGGCGTGTACGCATAATTTATTAATATGGTCGTTTCCTCAATTACGCGCTCCCTTGCACGCTTGGATATTCTGGATTGAATTTGCGAGCAATTGCATAACCACGCAATTGAGAACCCTTGCGCCGCAGATGGTAGAAACACGTGGGAATATCGCGACGAGTATTATTCTTGTACTTACGCTTTTATAACGGTCATGCAGCACGCAGAGAATTTGGTGTTATCACTCGCGCACGAACCTTATAGTCGCGCAATTTTTTAGGATTAAGTGCGACGCGTGTGACGCGACTGTAAGTAGGGCACTATTATTTAGGGCGCCATATTTTCGGAGCGTGCTTATATGGGGGTTTGTACGAGGTAGGCATCCACCAAACGTGCGCGGCGTCGCGACGCCGAGTATCTCGGTTTGAAGTTGTTTTCAAGCGTATTGCTGCGCCATCTGATTCACTCTAGTGATACTTTTTATTAATCATCACAGAAATCCTTATCTTATATTTTTTAGTAATTGGTTTAAATAAATTAGGGAATCGGATGATTTTGGTTAGTTATAATAATAAACATATTAACAATGACAACGTATTATATTAATTTTTATAAAAATTACATACTTTGCTCTAAAATCATGGAATCACTTATTTTTTTGGACATAACATTACATCACTAACATCTAATAAAACTAATTGTCTTGTATCTATACTACTCACAGTGGTAACAGTTTAGATGAGCAAATTGTTTGTCCGTGTTTAACATAGAAATATTTTTTGGTGAATTTTAAAGTATTGAACTAAGCATTGGACTAGAATAATATTCATGGCAAACACACGCGCATTCATGCCACTTTTCAATCTGTTTCAATAAACACTTTCGTTCAATGTATAAAAATATCATACTCACGACACTACTTATTAGAAAATTACGCTACTATACAACTATACATATTGTACTTATGAATGATCGTAACGAGTAACTAGATACATTTACGTGAAAAATAAATAGGATAAGAACGTAGTGTCACTCTTCGCCATTGACGAATTCATCAATGATCTTACTCAAACTAGTGTATGTGCCGATGACAAGGCCAAAGATACCAAAACAAATGAGCAAGACATTTTTGACTACCATAATATTGAATTTCATCCCATCCAGATAGTTCCAATAGGTGCACATGTCAATTAACGCTGGGATGGCAATGCCCAAAGCAGCCAAACACAAAGCACCGATCAAAGAGATGAAGAGATCTAGTTTTGGATATGCGGCCGCCAAAGAGACTAAAATATTAATCACAAATTAATAATAATATTCACATTTTAATATAATTGTTTTGTAGGTACTTACAAGTGATCAACACAATCAATGTGCGGACAACGTACTCGATAAAGGACTTTTTGCTGTTTTTCAAAAACCTGTGACTCAGATACTCATTCCATGTGATGTCAATGGCTACGTAACATTGAAGTGCGTACGTGATGAAGATCGACAAGGCCAGCATGACCTGGACAACTTGACCCAAACTAAAAAAAATCAAAATAATGCACTTCCTTGATCACGTTTTTTTTGCGGGTGGAATAAATTTAAAGTACTTACACGTCTCCTGGCGGCAAGTCCAATGTTATGGAACCTTTAACCTTGTTGCCATACGTTAAATATCCTAGGAAACCCATACCCATGTAAAGTGCTACGATGGAAGACATGCCGATGTTTAATACTCCAAAACCACCACCGAATTTCTTCGGAGTTTTCATTTCGTTTTCCAATGGCATAATCTATAATTAAATCAATTAGAAATAGAAGATTTCTTTTAAAAATTAGTTTAACTTACGACGCCGATAGCTTCCAAAGCAAAAAGTACAGTACCCAAAAACAAAGGCCAATTTTCAACGTCACCGACTGCATCACGCTCTTCAAACGTCGGAGAACCATCAATCAAGTAATATACAATGATACCAAAACTCACGAATGTGATAAAATTCGCCGCTGTTGAGAAGGGCGCGAGTAGTTTCAAGTTTTTAATCCAGTTGATTAAAATCAAAGGTAGCAGGAACATTAACATATACAATCGCAGATTGATGTCTTCAAAGTATTCATCGCATACATTTTTGATATTTGTAGCAATAAACACAATGTATACACAGCATGTGCCCATTTGGTACAATAACAAGAAAGCGTTTACCATGTGCCTAAAATAAAAATAATAAAATTCATTTTTGTTTAAAAAATAATTGATTTTTAAGTAGTTAATATATTTACACTGATGCCGATGCACATTTTTGAAATATCGCTGGTCCTTCCAAGAACGCAGCTTCCGCTGTAGCTGGATATGTGAGACTAGGTTCCCGACGACGTTTGCACAATTCATATTCAGCGCTGATAAGCAAGTGAATGCAATATGTGCAAATTAATCCAATCAAAACAGTTCCAATTAAACCGATGATGTATCCAGAATGAGAAAACGCTAAGGGCATAGCTAAAATGCCAGTTCCCAGACTGCCTTTTAGCAAATGGAAGAGCGTCTCAGAGTTCCTAAAATAATAAAATTTCTCATTATTAGATTCTCATTGCATGTCACATGAATATAATTTTCTTTAAATGGTGTGCGAAAGTATTTTAGCAATGTGACGAAAATGCGAGTTCAACGTCATTCGACAAGTGAACAAATTAGTTGCCGGTCCAATATTGCCGGTGCCAAAAATTCACGTTACGCAACGTCGACGTCGGCAAACTATTATTTTCACTTTAAAAGCAGGGCCACGTTTAAAATTAGCGCCTAGCGCCTGCAATGCGCATCATTTGTATGAGCATAAAACTATAAGTGCGACTCTGCGGCGTTGGTGTACAAAGAGCAATATAGATACAACAATACAATAGCATTCGACGATATGACACGTGCGTAAAATGAAAATCGTTTCTAGGTGATTCATGAAAGAGATAAACGTGTGTTGACACCGTTTATAAAACTAGATAATCTTTTGAATATAAAGTAATTGACTACTTAGTTTAAAGTGTGCAAATTGTGCATACAAGTGCCTAAATTTAAATTATTTAAATTTAAACATTTGGCACTTATTAACATGCATAAATTAGTGGAAAAATTCGAATTAATTTGGCTCGAAATGTGCATATTTTCACAGCGAGAGAGTAAAACATAAATAAATTAGTTATTAATTAATTACTTAAAAAATTGCCATCAAATATAAATTAAATATTGAATTTTAAATGAAAATAATAAAATAAGTTGTAGTTTTATCAGTTTTATCAATTTTTACGATTCGATTATTATCATTTTATCATGTTTTACAAAATTTTAATTTTAATTGTTCATAACTTGTTCTACAATCGTTCAATCAACTTAATTTTATCAAAATAAATATATAATTTAATTATAAATATAATTCTGAAAGAATTTTGATTATAACGCTAATAGTTTTTGAGTAATTAATTAATTTATACTAATAAAAATCAAATTATTTTTCTAGCGCCACGTAAATAAATATGACGCGATTTATAATGTCTGCTTTGCGTTTAAAAACCCACAAAATATATAATTACAAAAACTCTTTGACCTTGGCAACTAAAATATAAAATATAAAAAGCCAAATATCGTTTTACGTACTTCACATGTCAATAGAAACCACAATATTGCATTATGCCTATACTTGTTGCCAAAATATTAATTGCAAAAAACCATCGCAATATAAATATTACTAATACTTATGATTCATGAATAATTCAGTGTCTATGTCAATATCATGCACCCACATAAATTATTTAGGTTATTAATTAATACTCACGTTGTAGGATGTTCAACTTTCCGATGCTGATACGGATCGTACTTGTCCGAGGTATTGTCCTTGCCATTGGCATCCTTAATGCTCAGCACGAACGCGGCGTCCTTCATACCTCTAGAACTATATTACGAGTAAATAATACAATATCAACACACAGCGTAAACGCGGATATTTTTAAAGAAAATGCATTTTTTCACTCGTCAAACGTGCACACACAGAAGAAATACGAAGCCATAGAATCTTGAACTTGAACGTTTATTGCGGCTTATGAGTTGAGAGATCATTATGCACGTGTCACTCAACTTTAGATTTCGAACGTGTGTGAAACAATGTATTTTTAAATAATTAATTATTTTATTATACGTTGAATGATTTTTTTGTGTTGTGTTGAAGAGAAATATTTTCTAAATTGTGCCGAGGTTGGATTCAAAAATAATTTTTAATCATGTGCTAGTTTCTGAATATTCACGGTCTTTCCGAGCATATAAAACATGAAAATAAGCCAACATACTTCTTCTTTTCACCCTCGTCGGGCTCATAAGCCGGATTGGTCATTGACGTACTCATCCCGTAGCCGTTGTCTTCTTCTTCGTCGTCTTCGCTGCGTTCGAGTGGTGTCGTGGACGCGGATCTTGGCCGTTGACCGTCGTGATGATGTCTCCTGGTGTCCTGTGAACCAGAAACAACATTTGACGTTCACTATTGCACGCACGTAAACGCACTGTATAGATTCGATCTAATCAGATTTATTTGTTAGCGTCTTTCAATGATACACGACCGGTGCTTGTGTTTGCAATGTGCGAAAATCCGCACTCGGATTATTCGCGAGTGTCGAAAACTTGTGCCGCATGCGTGCGACAGGGAAATCGCGCGGCGGGCTCGAGTGTTCAAAATACAAAACGAAAATAAACTGCAACATTGGTGTGAAGAGGTGTTGGTCGTTTATGTTAGACAAGGGAATTGTAAATAGCAGAAATCGGCCGGAGGCAATTTTTTTATTTTTGCATCTTTTAATTTCAATCTTAAAAATTTCAATTAGTTGTTTGTTGACGGAATCAAATTTAAATCGTTATACCGTTTTATTATTTGTGAATATTCAATTTTATGGCTAGGAAGTAAATTTTTATACTGTAACTAAGGCGTAAAAACATAACAATTATTGGTGTTATCAGGAAATTCTTTTATAAAATATGAATTTTTGTCATTCATTGTTAAATACCTGTATAAATATAAATATATGTTGTTGGAAATACCCTTCATGTTACGTTAAAATAATTATTTAACTAAATATTTACTTAGCGAACCCATAATAATCTGCTTTGAACATAACACGACTACTGCATAATCATAATTATATCAAATATTATTCAGTACATTATTCAGCCTACTGAATATTGTTATCAATTCCTTCCGATGAATAATCAGATCAATGATATAGAATGACAATCTTTTGTAGACAATCACAGATAATGAAATATTTCGTACAAATATTTTTTTGTAAAATATTTCGTACAAATATTTTTTTGTAAAATATTTCATTTTTAATATTATATTAAGTATAATCCCTACGTAGGTAGATTGTTTGAATGGGAATTAATTAATGTACTTTCTTAGTTAATTAGTTTGCATGTATCTGTGTGCAAATACTATGTTGGAGTCAAGTTGATTTATATTTAATGTAAAACATTTAAGCGGAAAAGTACTCATTACCTCCAAAATAATTTAATCAAAATTTAATTTATTTTTAGAATTATTAAGAAAAGGTTATGGTTTTTGATATAAGTATATAGTTGCATAAAGCTATGTTTTATTCAGTAGCTGTAGCAATTTAAGAAAGTTTGCGCCACTTTTTAATAAAATAAATTCCTTTAAAACAAACTTTTCTGGCTTTTCTCCATCAATTAAAAAAAGTATTAAATTTGATAATATCCTCACCGTTTCTTTTCCTTTTTACATTTACACCGCACTTCAAATCTTCAAATATTCTGACACTTTTCTTTTATAAAACTCAGTCACTTAGCTTTTTATTAAAATCTATATAAAAATAATAATTAATTGTACGTTCCACACCGCTTCTGCTTGCCGGCGAACGCACACCTCAACTGATTCAAGCGTTATCCAGGTAATGATATTAATTCATGCGAAAGCCTCGAAAACGAAGCTTATCACTCTGCGTATACATACACTTGCACTTGAACTGAACATTGTTGTTCCCCGATTATTTTAGCTATTTGCCATGTCTACAGGAAACCATTACGAAAAGTATTTCATTTTTTGAGTACATATGGTGTAGTAAATACGTATCTAAATGATTATCTTATATTACTAACGATTTATGCGTTTTTGCTGATTGTGATTTTACTAGCAGCAAATAACACTTAAAATTTATTAGGTTTGTTACGTATCGATGAGTCAAAGTTTCGTAAAATTTACAACAAGTCTAAACTTGAAAAGAAATAATTTTGAAGTTTTTCTCATATTAATTAATTAATTAGGTAATTAAACAATGATAAAAGAAGTGAATTTGCTAGAAATTTATAATGAGTCATGCTTTTTACAAAAGTTAACGTTGATTTTATTCGTATTTGATAAACATTTTAGGCATTTTTAAAACAAGCGATAAAAATTGCAGCTATAAAATTTCTATAAAATCTAACTCATAAAATGCAAAAAAAACTATTACAAGTATTTTGCACTGAGCTATATAAAATTATATTTTCACCACGAAAATTGTAAATTTAATTAACACTCTTTGTCAAAAACAAAAACACAATCCACAATCCAATAACACCTACGTCTACTTTGTTAATATTTACAATTAGCCATTATTTGTGTCACATGAAATAAAACTCTATTTATAGATCAGTTATTTATATTCGTAAATGAAGTATAATAAGGTAATTTTTGGCCTCCATTTCTCAAGTGCACACGTGTGTAGTACATCTACAACTACACACGCATTTATGCAATAAACGAAATTGAGACTATAATGCCCCCGCGATGTGCCATCACAATTCGCGTCTGCACAACACATAACGTCCCCCTTTTTTCAAGTTGTTCATTAAGCAATTTCTTGACGATCTTCTCGTCGCATGACGGCATTGGCGGTGTTAGTGCACATCCTTGTTAGAAACAGATTTGTTATATTAACGTCGTACGCAAATGCGCAAACAGACCCACAACAAGCCCCCGTGTTTCAGGTTTGTTTCTTCGTTTTGGTTGGTCGCTTCATTCATATCTTCTACTCATGAATGACGTACACACACATCCATACATACATATTATGAGTATCATGTATGGTAATTCATCAATTTATTAATAAATACGCAAAACCGTGTCGTTATCTACTTACGCCACGATTACGTTCTCTTCCTTTGTGTCGTCCGCCATGCAAAAGGTTCATTTGTATTTCTAGAAACGGGTTTAAACTTTTATTGCTCAACCCTGTTGAAAGCATAATGTTTTATTTTGCTTTGCTTACCTCCGCCACCGTGTATAGAATCATCATCATCATCCGAATTCACTAATTTGTATCGAACCGAATACATTTTGCTTGTAATTAGCGATTGCTGCACGCGCTAATAATGTGCGAAACAAACTAATTGATTGACCTAAGCAATCAAGTCAATGTAGATTTTTATAATTAGAGTTACAGCATGAAAGTCTTTGCCAACAATTGTTTCATGAATTTGCACAAGTAAACAAGGTGCGTCATTGATTAGTTAGTATTGCCTCGTGTATATGTATAGCAATTTTTATTTAATACGCTAATGTTTTTAAAAAATGCCAAATGCAAATATTTACAAATTACAGTGTTTGAAGGTAAATTATTCGCATTTTTGTGTTTGGATTGTTTTTTAACTTAATTTTTTATATTTACTTATATATTTTGCTTGCTCCTTTCTATTTTTCTTTAGTGTAAGTGTTATCACTTCATTATTATATGCAAATCAAGTAAATTTTTATTTTATATTAAATTCATTTTTTACTTGATTTAAAATGCGCACGATTAAGGTGCAAAACTATATATAAGGCTACACTGATGCCAAAACGCTATACAAATAAAAGAAACATAAATATTTACGCTGATAACGTATAATAATTCAGAATAATTTGTTTTAAACGTTCAATATAACTAATATTTTTTGTTTAGCGCATAACCTGTCATTTACTAAAAGTGGACGCGTCGATTTTCCACAAGCAGCACGCAGTTACAACGCGGCGGGTTAACAGACAAGATCGTTATTGTTAAACACGCTACGTTTACTAAATTATTGTGATAAGTAATAAAATAAGCAGATAAAATTTCTTAAATACTTACGGGAAGATTTTATTTTTGCAACTTTAAATAATAAGTTAATAAATAATTTCAGGTGAGTACCGAGAATCTAACTTTAAATACTTATATAACACATCAGCATGTGTGTGTACATTTATTTTATCAGTGAATGCTCAAATTCGTCTATAACCTACGTAACAAATGCGCATTATGAAAAGTTTTCGCTCGCTCAGACACAAGTGTCATTCAAATAATGTCGACATCTTACAGTTGATTAAATCTAAACTACATAAATCAACTTACGGATGAAATTATTATGAATGAACTAAAACGACTTAGTTTAATGAATCAGGATGTTCTTGATGTCAAATTAGCATCTTGAAGTATCAACAATGAACCTAGCGTCATGCGAACATGAAACTATGATTCATTTAAATATTAATCGATTTATATTAATTATTTCTTTAAAAATACTTTTCAAATTTAATTGCTGAGTTAACGACAAATATGTTAATATATTTTTGTGTAATAATAATAATATAAAATTCATTTTTATAAAGATTAGAAAAATATCACCAATATTTAGTGCGTAATCAAACAAAAACCTTAAATTTTTCACAAAAATTGCTTTAAAAAATTCTTTCATTTTATCAGATTAAAACTATTTGTAGAAGGGGTAAAACTACATTATAGTATATTCAAATATTTATTATTTAGATAACTCTTAATCGAATCAAATTAATTCCATGGTTTAATCCTGCTTAATCCAAAGAAAGGTGTTTAGAGGTTAAATTACAACACCTAATAAACTACGCTAGTTATAAGTTATAAATAATTCTCTAATAAAAAAAAATAATTAAATTACGAATACAATCTAGCAGACCTTGCCGCTTTGTTGCTTGATTCAATCGGTATTGCAAAACCCAACATTAATTAATGAACGCTGCAAAGCCGCTACATTACCCACTCACACCTGCCAATATAATTTTATCTGAGCGTAGCGCATTAAAATGCTTCAGTTGACATTAAGTGCAAGTTTATTCTCACACTTGATTGACTGATTAGATTTCTGGAATTTATTGTTTTTTATATTATTCTGTTGATACAAGGGTGTTTTTTAGTTCGAAATCAGATAATAAATTAAGAATTTTGAAATTTGTCAAGTGGTTTTAAATATAATAAAAATTTGTAGATTATCTACAATAAAATTTGATTTTGTTGATTTAGTGATTTCTCAAAATGTAATCAAAATTAATATGAACTTTCATAAACACTTACCTGGAGTTAATTCCGTTGTATTATAAAGTTTAAACTTAGATTTCACATTTAAAGTTAAAAATGCTTCACAAGAGGGCGACACGTTATTTAAAATATTTATTTTTAAGTAAATATTAAACTATTTTGACAATTAGCGATCGTAACTCTCACTTTCAACGGTAACACTGGCGTATTAACAACAGATTGATAGCAGTTAGAGGTGTTGGCCGATAATGGTATGGTTGTCGTGCTGTGCGACGCACGATTAACGTTTCTATCAGTGGCGATTGCGATTTATATAGGAGACGCTTCACTTACACCTAGTTGTCGTAACTCCAGCGAGTTACACGTTGATACCGTATTGACATCATGGCTAAGCGGTCAAAATGCACAAGATGTTACCATTTATCTGAGGGTGTGCGTATAATTCGTTGTCTGACTGTTTCTCGTCGGCATTAATACCAAGAGTGGGATCGTGCAAATATATGTGTCAATTGTTTTATTGTTTCCGCTATGTGTTAATTTTAATATGAAATTTTGCAATGCAACAAGATATTAATATGTGCAGCACCTTAAACTTGATTCATTCATTCATAATACGTTTTGATTGATCATTTGAAAGTAATCCTGAGTTTTATAGTTGTCGCTGTTATTAATTGTTGATAGTATAATCCCTGTCTGATAACCGAGGGCATAATCATCATGTTTAAACATATTACAATCAGGTACGGATGGCATTGACATAAAAATCTCATAATTTGTTTGTGCACCACTGTTTCACAAGTGCTATTATATCGAGAGTGAGACATTATTCAATTAGGCTTGCAATCCAAATACTTAGCAACAATGCGACTGCCTGCAGAGAAAATCTGATTCCAAGTAAACAAGCGAAAATCACTTCTCGAGTACTTTTATAATTGTACATTGTACAAAACCAATTGAAACCTTATCGGATCCTGATAAAATTTCCATTCCTATTTGAGCTACATTGGTAACATACCGGGTTAGTTTTAGAAAACTTGATAATAGCTGGCGATGGGGGAAAAACAATTTAAAAACTGAAATAATTAATTGTAATAAATTACCATGAAATTATTATGCAAGAAAAATAAATAGGTATTGAAAATTTTACAGTTTTAGCAAAAAGAAACGAATATTTAATTTTTTTTTAAATAAACATCTTAGTAAATACTTAAATAATATCAGTTTAAAGATGGAAACTTTACCTTTTTAGTAATTCTTATTCATAATTATTTAATCATTCTGAATTCAGATGTTTCCAAAAACATTCCAAATATGTCGGTGTATTTTTCATATCCTACTTATAGCACTTGACACTACTAATTTAATTCCATCATCGCATGGAATATTATCTAGATGAAATCACTGCTTAAACATTAACGTAAGTACAAATACCTTTCAGAGGTGACAAATAGATTACAAGAGCTGTGGAATGTGTTCAATTCTCATCTACCAAACACCTAATACAGACACAATTTTCAAAATGATTTACATGTATATAAATAGACTATTCAACCATAATTTAATGACTAAAATACTTCCTGTTTATGTTCGTATTAAAAAACAAGTAACGTTTTTGCGTTTAATCAAATTATCAATCTTATTGTTTGTCCGCAGTCATTCCGCTAAGCATAATGCTCAAGGTGTCATAATTGGTTCAGTAAATACTTGTGTACCAGCAAGGAAATCGCATAGACAAGCAAATACGCATTAGGATAATAATTGAGTTGGAATTTTAAATAGTTACCCTAAAAACACTGCAAAGAAACAAACACGTTCGTTCACTATTATTTTTTGTGTCAATATTTTTTGCAAACTGACTAAAACTTAAAGTATTTGTTAAATGCCAAGGTGCATTGTGTAAGTTTTTAATTTATGTGTTTAAAATACTCATTTGTACCATATACATACATAGAATAACAGAGAATTTTAAAATATTCCACCAACACAGTAACATAAAATCATATAGAATGTATTGTTGGTTGCCTAAAACATTACAAAACATTCAACATATTCAACTCTAAAACTTTTTATCTAATATAACTCAATTTAAGCATTCCATATTCTTCTTTAATCAAATCAGCCCCTTTTTCTCCTATCATAACAGCTGAAGCATGTGGATGTCCTGATATTGAAAATGGTATAACGCTTGCATCAATCACTCGTAGTTTTCCAACACCATAAACTTTTAACTCGCCATCAACTACTCCTCCCAACTCTTCATCTTTCATTGCACAAGTCCCAAGAGGATGATAAACATTCATAGTAATTTGTCTGATAGTGCAATACCAATACTCTTTTGAAAGATATAAGGTGTTTTTACAAGCAGGAAAAGTGTATTCAATCAAAGATGCATTGATTCTTTTAAAAGCTTCAGTGTCGATTAATTTCAACACATGTTGAACCCCTAAAAAAATTGTTGCAATGTCTAAGTTATTCCTATCCGAAAGAAAATTTGGATGAATCAATGGATAATCAAACGGATCTTTTGATTTCAAACTTATATAACCGAAAGATCTTGGTCGTAAAAGAACAACATAAACAATAAAAGTAGTTGTGGGGTCTGTATGTTTCCAAATTGCATCATAACTAATGTTGGTGAGATGAAAACTTTGTTGGTTAGCACGTCCAGTACTATTTGATGGTACAAATAGTAATTCAATGTCTGGTACACCAGAAGTTTGACTTAAGTGGGTTTCATGGAAACTTATACCTTCCAGGTTAGCTGCAATTGTATAAGGTCCTATTCCTTGTAAATATTCTCTAATATACTGTCTACGTGATTTGATTGGTTCCGTATAATTACTTTGAAATATCATACCGTAAAAAGTCGCGTGATCTTGTAAATTTAAACCTACGTAAGGAGAATTTCTTACAATAGGAATACCATGTTGTAATAAAGTCCAAAGTGGTCCTATACCCGAATGCATCAATATTAAAGGTGATCCAAATACACCTCCACTCAATATAACCTCTTTTGTAATTCTAACCTTACTTTTCTTCCCTTGATATGTAAATTCAACACCTGTAGCCCTTCTATTCCGTGTTAATACTTTAGTAACATATGCCCCTGTTAAAATATCTAAATTACTTCGAGTGGTACCCAAATATCCTCGTGCTGTCGAAACACGTTGCCCATTTTCAGTAATCAGTTGATTTAACGCCGCTCCAATTTGCTCCGCACCATTTATATCAGTTATCTCCATCCCTAGTTCCTGGTGTGCTTCCAGGAAAGCATTAGTTTGAGGACTAACCGGAACATGATTGTTTATTGGTAATGGCCCACTTTGACCATGGTAATGAAGATCCACGTTTGGGATGTGGGTATGTTCTGACTTTTTAAAGTATGGCAGAACATGGTCATAGGACCAGGTACCGTTTGCTAAGTATGAATTCCACGTGTCGAAATCTTTACGATGTCCTCGCGAATAAATGACACCGTTTATAAGACTAGTACCACCTAGTCCTCGACCTCTTGGAAATGGACATCGCTTGTCTATCATACCTTGAGTATTATTAACAATTGTTAACATTATATATGATGATAAATTGTAAAATGTTTAGTTTTACCTTGACATGCATGTCGTTGTGGTACACTGAAGTATCCCCAATTGTAATTCGTAAATCTCGAGTAGAAATACAGTCCTGGAATATTTGTAAAGTTGTTTTCGCGTTCTCCTGCTTCTAGGAGTAATATTTTCCATTGCGGTACTTCACTTAATCGTGCGGCAACCACTGATCCACTTGATCCACCACCAATGACCACAAAATCATATTCTCCGAAATCTAAACGTAAATCAAATATTTAATAGCATATTAATGTAATAATTTTGTTAATACCTTTGTGACGTGCTCTTTGATCATAAAAATTCCCTTTGTGTTCGTTAGCGTCAACAGGAGCTGTATAAGTATCAAATTTGCTAATTGTATCATCAATTAAATTTTCATAATAGTCGATTAACGTGTCGTTTTCTGCGTCTGTTGCCTGTCCCAAGGCAGTAGATAGTAGGATATTACACAATCCGAAAACAATAATAGTTTGCATGATAAATATTTGACGAAACACTTATTTTTCACATTGACTTAACAAATATGGGTTTTCCTGCATTTGTTTTGATATTTATTAATAATTTGTTGCATTGCATTCATTCTTATAGAGGATTGTATGTAAGTACAACTTATGCGATAAGTAAATGTGGAAATTCAAAATATAAATATAAAAACAAGTTTGGCAAGTAGAGCAGTGATATTAAAAGTTTGCTGCGTGGAAAATTTGGTTAAAGAGTTTGGATAATTGTGGATCACGTATTTAACACGTGAATGTTAACTAAAAAGAGAAGGTTACTTCGATGATTAAAGAAGTAAGTTCTTGTAATACTTAAATTGTACATTTTCTCACATTTTCTTGCTTATTGGACATAAATTTAAAATTTTAAACATTTGAGGTAAAAAATGATTGCTTTTAAGCATTTTCTTCACTTCTAACATAGAAAAACTTATAAAAATCCATAATAGGCTCAGTAATGTTAATAAAATTCATCAATAAAAATAAAATAGATTCTTTTACCACAACACGTGTTATGAGCGGTAATTCACATAGTAATATCAGTTTTTTCTATAATTTATATAATACCGAACTGAAATAGCAACTTTAAATCAAAATACTCGTACTCTACTTCAATTGAACTCATTTGAAGCACTTGTCAAATTATTCATGTGCAGTTTAACTCAAATAAACCGCATTTACAAATTGCTATACACTTTAGATTCTCTCTCTCAAAAACAACCGAAGGACAATAAGATTTTAATACCGGTTTCAAAAACGATATCCATTAATAACATCATTGCAGAGTCAAAACACTCGAAACAGTTTAATGGAGTCGTTGCATCTAGTCACACGCAATAAGTAAAATATTCCACTCAGATTGTTTTCAGTGAATTACGTGAAACTAGTTGGTGATTTTTTCTGAACAACGTAGCAACATAAACGTAAGTACGTATTCAGTATGAACAAGAAAAATAATTAGGTATTCAGGTAATCGACACTGATAATCTGTGGTATGAATTTCGTTATCAGCTTTTACGCGTGGGTAGCTGCAAATGTTTTTGTGGAAGTAGAAGCATTGTAGTAGCCATGTTATCGAAATGAATCAGTTTGCTGAAAGACTGCTAGGTGTGACCTGTGGTTGAGTAAAATTTTAAATTTGACTGGTGAGTGAGATATGTTAAAATATTTAATTTTTTTTGGTATAAAATATTAAATTAGTGATTAGAACGATTTGAATTACAAAATAGCAGAATAATTTATTTTGTATGTTTTTGAAATACTGGCAGATCATTTTTTGTTCTTTAAATACCTGAAAAGGACTTTTTTAATGTTTTATATTCGTTTGATAGAGATATTTCAATAACAAGTAAAAATAAACAAACAAAATATCCATAGTTTTTATTATATTTTATTTTTAACGTGTTAGTGAATTACAATTTTCCATAAGGAGATTTTTTAACATTTTGGAGCTCGATAACATCGTCAGAAACTACACTTTATGCGAAAAACGAACGGTGAAGAAATTAAAAAATGAGAAATGCGAAAGCATTAGTTATATATTTGAGTTTTACTCCGTAAGATATGCAACATAACGTACATCAATTAATATCTGAATAATACTGTTTCTCTTTATATAAAATTTAAATTTATATAAATTTTACTATATTTACAAGTTTTATTCTATCTACAATAGTTGTGGTTCTTATCAAGTAAAAAAACTGATTTTTATTAAAGTGTGTATCTTCGAAAGCAGATGTCGCTAACAGTACAAGATCATAATTTTATTCGTTCTTTTTGAACTTATTCCAACCTTGTACTAGGTATAAAGTGTAATATTTTAAGTTGTTTTTGTGTGAATTGATAAGTTAATTTTATTTCTATTTCTTTTAAATTAGAACAGTTTAATCCCTCGCCGCAAAAATATTCGACATCAACTTGACTGATTACTTTCAATCAATATTTTATCTCAACTTAAATAACAATAGACTTTAATTTTTAAAGTGGTTTATTCGCCAAACGAATTAATTGCCATGCACAAGTCGACCACTAAACGAAACTAAACGGTTTGTGTTATACTTATAGCAGTTATACAGTGACGAACTGAACAATCCAAATAAATCATTGCTTGTTTTGAAAACAATCAATGAATCGTTGACATAATTGACAAAACAATTGAATGGTTAATTGCCAAAAAAAGAAACAAAAATTCTTAAAATGTAGACATAATAAAACTTACTTACTTGTCACGCTCGACATCGTGATTGTGTTAAATTTACAATTGGAATTAATTATAGTGGATCGGGATATGAATTTATCTGGATGTTATTAAATTCAATACAAAAAAAATAGTTTTTTTTAGTATGAATGTAAGACGTAGTTAAATTTGTTCTTCGGGCATTTATTCTTTGTGTACCGCTGTACCCCACTTCTTCAGAGAGTAGTTTTGCGTGCAAGATGTTTTATTTGCCGACGAGTGGAATTTTCCATTCGTCAAGACACCAGATGATTTTAGCAAAGATAAATACGAATTTAATTTTGTTAAAATCTCTTCGTGTTTATTTATTTTCAGTCAAATTAAACAAAATTGATACCAAATGTGTGTCCTTGTCATGGCACACATGAAGAACTCAAAATATTATCACCGTAATTTGGGTTTTATTTATAAGAAATGTGTTTTGTTTGACGGTTGCGCGTGGGTGTGTGCGATGCGATGTGCCACGCTCGCGAATCGTAAAGTTTCGCGGCTGATTCCATTTTTAAAATTAGCACGTGATTTTCATGTATTACATTTTTTGACGGCGAGCCAAAAAGCGAAGGCGCGCTTTTTATCTTCTCGCGTCGCACCTAGCACGCGCGCCGCTTTTCCTTCGCTTTTCTCTATTTCACATGCGAATGTTTATCAGCAGCCAGCGGCACGCAATCGGCGCACAAGATTTCGCCGTCGTGTCCATGTCCACCTGACGAATTTCGTCGGTTGGCGGCTGGGTTTACGTGTATCCTTCGCAGCGTATATTCGCCCCGTCAGTATTAGACATCTTTTTCATCAGTTAGTGGAAAATCGACAACGCGCGCGGAAAAACAACTACTGTGCTGATGAAATTAACCGCATCCCAGTTAAATATACCTACTATAGTGTTAAAAACAATTTCATAATATTGACTACTTCATCTTGACTTTTCTTTTAATTATTTAAGTGCGTCCGGAAAATCGGTAGAATGGAAATGAACGTTTTATATTCAGAGGTAAAGAGTTGAGTGTTAATGTGTTGATATAATTATAACAAAACACAGAAAATTGATTATGTTTGATAAATTAAATGAAAATTAAATATGGGGCAAGTATTTATGCAAATTTGATTTTTATTTTCATCAACTTTTTGTAAACATATGATGAAAACAAGTAATAATTTTTGGAATTTGTCCTCGTTACACTTTCAGTACACAAATATTTCAAGTTTTTACTTTTTCAGCTTCATTGCAGTCTTGAAAATAACATTTGCATGTATTTAGTGCCAAATTTAACATGAAAATTATTACTATTACACAATTGATTCACTGTCTACAAAGTGTAGCATGACGCAATCGATTCTACATCATAATCACATGCGTACCATGACTAAAAATAGTAGTTCTGTATTATCACGATTAATATTGGCAGCAAATTAAACAATGCCTGACAAAATTGCATTCCGCGACTGAGTCACTAGTCTGTCGTCCGGTAATTGCTACACTCGGTAGAATTAATTTGCATAACACGGATAACATCGAACGCATTCATGCTCCATTCTGCATTCAGAAGCTATTTATAAATATTCAAAAGCTCTAAGTAAGTGTGCTACCGGCGCGCCGTTTTTCAGACGCACAAAGTGTAATTGAACGGGGCGGGCGCTCGGAAGAAAGGAGGACTTTAATAGTGGGGAAGAATGTGTTTTGCAAATTTAGTGCCGCTCCAGACGAGACGGTTCCCGATCGTTTGGTCAATGCCGACAATGGTCATGTGCGAAAAGAGTGCAGGACACATTTTCTAAATATATACAATGCGTCCCAAATAGCTGCTGCTTTGCTACGCACTTCACAGATGCTGACCTATAGACACGCATCGTTTTATATTGGGAGAGAGAGATCTTAACACTGAAATATTTTGAGGAAAATTAGTGAGATTAAAAAATAACAAATGTTTTTTCTCAAAACATATTTTAATTTATTTTTAAGGTTAGAGTCATTATTTGCAGCCATTATTTGGTAAATGTTAGAATATAGTAATAAAATGATCTAATCATATGTTTATGTTTTGTTTATTTTGTTTATGAACATAGAATACATTGTAAACAATTATTTTTCGTTAATTTCACTAAAAATACGTGAATTTTTGGTAGTTTTTACAATTTTTCTTTCATATTTTGAGGTTAAAATGTTTTTTTTTTTTAAATTATCTTCAAATTGCGACAAATAAACGTCTCCAAAGTTTTAAAAAAATTCTAGCTATCTAATTATTTATTATTATTATTTGACCCTTAATTTTCACGTGCTATACAAAAAAAAAATTCAATTTCCTGTGCAATGCACAACAAAACATTTTTTGCCAGTCAAAACAGTAAATATTCCTACGCATTAAGTAATCCAACACCGCTGACGCACTGAATCCTGAAACCTTTGAAACTGTTTTAATTCTGCCGACAGCTTTGCTACAAATCGTCACGGGCGAGAAAAATACGAGGCAAACATATTTTTAAGAAATAAAAATAAAACTACTCTTTATTACTTAACACGTGTACTTATACGAGTCGCGTAGTGTGAAAACTCTGAAAACATACGTGAGTATAAGTATGTACAGATATGCTGTAATGAATGAGATTTTTTTTCAACGCATGAGTTTTCACTACTCGCTTTGGTGGTGTGAGTGTAAATAGGATTATCCGCCAAAAAATCGCTAGGATCCGCGTAATGTTTGTGTTCGTACGAAAATAAACAAAAGCACATGCCAAACTTTCTCCAATTTTAATTTTATTTGCAGAGTTTATAAATCGCGGTTAAGGGGGTCTTCAAAATATCAAATTAATTTTAAAATCCGCCAAATAAATAGTATCCAAATTTAGCATTAATTTCACAACCAAAATGGTAAAACTGCTCTGCTAGAATTAATGTTTATTATTTTTTTGCATTTTTCTTCTATTCAATTACAATTCAATTTTATTTCAAAATTTATTACTTTAATAAACATTTATCTTAAAATATTAA